CTCTGACCACGCCGCTCTCCAGATAATTAACCTGGATGAATTTGCCAAAGCGGCTGGAGTTGTTGTTGTGGGCTGTCTTGGCGTTCCCAAAGGCCTGGAAGAGAGAAGAGGATTAAAGTCAACTACACAGAGCGCATCGATCTAACCAATCAACAATTTAGCCCAATGTTCTGGTCAAATAATGAGAAAAAAATGAATTTAAGTGGTTAAAACTGCAGTCGGGCTTGTGTACAGGAGAAGACATCAGAACACACAGCACTACCAAAGTCATTTAAACCTCTGCAGCTTTTCTTTAAACTGTTAACCTTCAAGCCATCAGTGGAATCAGGACCTTTGCTGAAGTCACAACAACCCTCCTCCGTAACTACAAAGAGGCTGCACAGTCCTGGGTTAAACCTTGTTTTGAAGCTGAAACCGTAGAAGCGGGTGGGAGTGAGTGGGGTAAGCATCTGCAACTCATCTGAATTTGCCCTTTTCTTACTCTCATTGAATCGCTCTTTGCACCTCCTCGGGGTCAATGTGTGTGAGAAAGCTTAGGTCAGTAATGATAAATGAGGCTGGGGCAGACCCTCTGTACGGCCGTGTCACACCAACGTTTCTCTCCAGGTCTCTCCAGGCCAGCCAGAGGCGCAACGACCCCAGGCTCACCCAGCCTCTCTGAGGCGCCTTGTTTATTGCACAGATACGTTACGAGAATAGCACGTTTTCCCCCTCTTCATGATGAGACGTTCACATGGTCACACACAAACACAAAACAAGGCCACCACAGGGGAAGTTGACTCAATGCATGTTAAATAGGAAGTACATTCTGTTTTGTAAGGCGGTCGCAGGGTGAATTTGATACACTGGTGTCGGGGAAGATTGGAAAAAAGACTGCAAGTGCGCACACACACACACACACGCGCGCGCGCACACACACGCGCGCACACACACACACGCGCGCGCGCGCGCGCACACACACACACGTGCGTGCACACACACACGACTGAGATTCCTTAGGATGAACTGTTGACCCATTTTCTTTTCTCCTGCATATTTACACCCCTTGTGCTTCAGCTCTGTCCGTGCACGCTCATCTGCTCTTTTTTGTTCTTTATGCAAGAACAACTTTGATCAATTTTTATGTTTTAGTGCAAAAAAAGAACTCAAAATGTGATTTTAATATTGCCTTGAAGGAAGTGAGGGAAGAGTTGTTACTTGTTGATGGATGATGAAAGATGCTCACATGAGGTG